TCTGACAGTTCCTCCTCGCCTGCCAAAGAGCGCAGCCCGGACTCGCCGAGCGCCTGGAAGGTGCTGCTCGTGCTCTCCCGAGACAGAAGGCGCCCAAAGGCGTCTGGATGAGTGCAACGGGATGGGCGGAGCGGGAGAGGGGGGGCAGAGTGAGCCGGGAAAAGGGGGTTCACGGGCAACCGGCTTGAATCGCGGCCCAAGGAGGGCTTGCTTCCAAGAAAACCGAAGGAAGGGGTGAGGGAAGGAAAGCTGCCGTCCTATACCCACTTAATCGGGAGTAAGCCCCATTGGAAACAAGGACTTACATCTGAGTAAACATGCCTAGGACTACACTGGAACTGTGATACCTGAATCCTATTGAGGCTTCAAGAGTTAAGGGGCTGTCCGATTGTAGAGTTAGGCACGCTTTAACATGCGGGAAGGCTTAAGCCCGTCCCGATGCACGTGTAAACAGCCACACGCTTTGTTGCCGACTGCCGCTCTTCCGTTAATGATTCCCTCGAGTTTCTTGTCCCGATAGAAGACCGCGTACGGTTCGTGCAAGCCACCTTCCGTGTAAGCGTCGCTAAATCTTAGAAAGCTTATGTTTTAACGCTGGGGAGGCAAGAAGCGTAGCTTGGTGGCGGAACCTGGTCTCTCTGCGATCACACCTTTGTTTGTTTTACCTTTCTTACTCTTGGTAAGCCCTTTATCGCCTAAGATTTACAGGGATCTGTCCCTGAGAGTCAGCCATGCAGTGCTGGCAATTAAAAGGGCGTCTCAGAGCCCATTAATTTATGAGCAGGTAATTTATGGAATCAGATTCTCTAGCTGCTTCAGAAAACAAAACAAACCACGAACTGCTTTCCTCTGGAGGGAATACATCAGATCAGACACTACGAGGCCAGGATCCAAATCAGGGAAAATACACTTTCAGGAGGCGGCAAAGTGGGACGATCCAAAACTGGGATGGTGTTTTACAGAGGAGGGTTCAAATCCAAAAGGTCAAGGCTGCACTCCGAAACACACACGGCCGAACACAAGGGGTATTAATTAAGTGGAAGGATACATATAGAAATTGTGCTGTTCAGCTGCCATCCTAGCCTCACTTCCTCAGAACCTTATTCAACTCAGAGGGCTCAGTAAAAATCCAAATAAATGTTTATAGGCTCTTGCTGCCAATGCTGTAATCTTAGGCTCACTTACCTGGGCACAGTGAATAAATATACAGTGGGGCTGTTTGGTCCCATGACTCTAAAATGTTTCTAAGAAAATTGAGTTGGATTTATTTGTAAGGTAAAATTGAGCTTCTGTAACTCGTTGGAATGATGTGAAACCTGTTTTCAGGTTTTCATTTGAATTGTTTTTGTGACCCACTACTTAGTCAAATTCATCTTCTTAGATTATCAGATGATCTTGTCTCATTTAGTTCAAGGGAGCAAGGTTTAGAAGTAGCGGTCCTTAAATAAGTCATGGGCTTCTGCTACTGATCTGTCTAATTGTTCATCTGAATCCAAAGTACATTCTATTAAATCCTACTTTCTAAATTATTTTCAAGCAAATACTGTGAAGATCAATTGCAACTTGATTTGAAACACTAATATTAGTGTTATTCTGGGTTGAGCAGTGACAGCTTTTCTAAAAGCTACAAAAACCGAAAACATTGCAAGAAAATAAAGAGTTGCAAACCAATTATTAAGTTGTTAATGCTATTTCCCCGCAAGTTGTCTGCAATAATGTCAGACTGTTGTTTGTATCTATTTGAAAACAATTTGAAGAGTTCTGAACGGTACATACGATCCATGCAGATGAAACGCAAACTGTTTGTCATAAATACACAAAAAGTTTTCAAAAACCGATGTCAAAAAATCCATACCATCTTTAAAAATTAAAGGGCTTTTAAAGAAAAAGTTAGCTGCCTCCCACATAACGCTATTTTTTTTAATGTTAGTGCGGCTGTCTTAGCAGGAAACGTTGTGAAATCTCCCACAGTATATTGGATTTGACACCTAATTAGGCTTCTGACATTTATAATTTTTGAAAGCAAAACTTCCTACGGAAGGATCGGGCCTCACTTTGACGCTGGAAAGGGAAACCCGGTGGCGTGGCGTTATTGATGTGAACAAGGGCAGAAAGGTAAATGATACTTTCAAAGCGGCTAGGAGAGCGGTAGCCTTTGTGGAAAAAAAGTTAAACTCCCCGCCCCTTCCATTTTAACTCCCTAAGTGTATTCTCAACACAGGAAAAAATGCCCTTCAGAGTTTAGCTTTCGATAGGGCCTCGATGTTAAGAGTGATAAAACCGTGTTTTAACCCTTTTAAGAAGAATTCCCTGGAAAGCCCAGCCTATGGTAAGAAATATCTGATTCTGTTCGTCCAATCCTGCTACGCAGTGGCTCCCTTTTCCAGGGAAGAACTTAGCGAAACTTCCCCTCTAAGACGGCGCTGTATTCATCATAACGGCCCTCGATGGCAATTAAACTTGCTTCCGAGTTAGGTCAGGTACTCTTGAAACTTTTGGGGAGGAAGTCGCGCCGCATTTACTCGGGCCTAGCGCCGTCAGTAAGAGCGACAAGAAGCCCGAGGGCTGCGGATTTGTTTGAGGGGCCTGATTTAGAAGTTACATCTGTTACGTTACCGGATTCGAGCATACATGATCCCTAGTCTCCCTCTGCGCTGTGTAAGGGCAACCGATTTGGAGTTTACTTACTGCCTCGAAGGGTGCGATTTTACATGCAGTTCCCTCACTCTTTCTCACACACACACACCCGCTAGTTTACCATGGAGCTTCTCTCCAAGTAAAACAACCCTGGATTTTGTCGAGGTCAAGGCTGTTCGAGAGAGAACCCCATTTTTCCCCCTTCTCTCCGCCATCCCTGTAAAAATGCACCCCCAGGCTTGACCTCCGGGCGCCCGGGGGGGGGGAGCGGTGCCCTGCCGCGCGCAAGGAATGGGGCGACTCAAAGGGTACATACGATTGTTGGGGTCTCCGGTGTGCTGATTGAGGGGGATGATTTCCATCCGCTGTTGCCCGTACAGATAATAGTCCAGCTCCTCCGCCGTGCAGCGAAAGCGGGATGCCGCCCTCTCGGTGCCCTTGGCGCCGACGCCGCCGGCCCCGCTGCCTCCGCCGAGGTCCGAGGTCTGCAGGAGCGGGACCGGGGGTGCTCCCGCCGGGGCGTCGGAGCTTTGGATCGGTCCGAAGACGGGGATCTGAGCCACCGGCAGCGCGGTCAAGGTTGCCAAGGAGGCGGCGGCGGCGGCGCACGCAGGCTGGGCAGAGGACGGCGTGGAAGAGGAGGACGAAGAAGAAGAAGAGGAGGAGGAGGAGGACGAGGAAGACGACGAGGACGAGGAGAGAGAGGCCGGGGCTTGGCGGAGGCTGTCAGCCGCCGGGTCGACGACCAGCGCTCGGGCGGGCGGGTGGAGGTGGCCCAGCAGCCCGGCGCCGCCTTTGAGCTGGCTGCTGTGAGGGAAGAGCTGCTGCCAGTGCTGGAGGTAAGCCGGGTCCACCTTGAGGAAA